ATTTGAAGGAGAAAGCTCTAGATCGCATTAAGTGGAGGAATTGTTTTGGAAGAGACTTTGGACCTGTCGTCTTGACAGATTACTGATGATGATGATGATGATATATATATAAAATATGAAGTTTGAACATCTCAGCCCACGTATAAACAACCCGAATGGAATACCCCAAACAGCGTGTTCAGCCTTCACACGTTTAATAGGAAGGCAAAAAAACCAACACGACTTATATTCTGAAGAAAGCAGACTCCCCACAGAGCAGTATCACCACCATTACCAACACAGGGGAACAACAAGCAACACACATACGGTAGGTAGCAGGCACAGGGCTTAAATGGAATTTGTAATATTGGCTATAAGTGCCTTAATAGCCACTTTAATTTTAATTTTAATTGTAATTTGTTTCCATTTAATATCAAGTTTAGTGTCTAGATTTAACCGCAGTTTTGAACCGCACTTTAAAATTAAGATATAATTGTCAGTGTAGAATAATCACACAGACACAATATGAATTCATATTGATTAGTGTCGCAATTCAGAAGTTAAACATTATTCGTGTACGCCTGAAGATGACTCATGAAAAGGGTCGAAACATGTAGCGATGCCACCAAAAGCGAATAAAAACAAACGTTGACACAGTAGCGTCCATTTTGTTTCTTTTTGATTGTTTGTTGTGCGACTGTCCCAGTGTACATTTGTTCGTATAAATTAGAATGAGAAGCCATGAGATATTATTAAAGATTGTTTTAATGTGAGGACATGAGGTATTATGCACTGATACGACACGACTTCGCTCTTTCTTTCCAGTGTTCGCCGTTTTAGTTCTGACCACATTCTGGCTCCGACATGATGGAGCCAGTCGCATCAACCTGTCATGCGTCAGTTTGTTCTGCCACTACCTGCACCTCCAGTACCTGGGCTGGCTGCTGGAGAACAACGGTGACACCTGTCCGCTAGTAGGTGAGTCATCTCAGAGTATAAAATTGTAACGGATGTTAGCAGAAAATATGTGAAGGTGTGTAATAGATTTAAGCCATCCAGACGAGGGTTCAGTGACTGGCTTTTGAGACCTTGCAACAGTATTTCCTGGGACAGTTCACTATTGGTACAACGATTACAAATCAAAATCTGATTCAGGAGGAAATTAAGGGGATGTCAAATTCGGGGAAATGCTTGCTACCATTCAATCCAGAACCTTTTGTCTTCTTGTATGCTGTCCAAAAACATAAAAATTAGAATATACAAAGAATAATTTTGCCTGTTGTTCTGCACGGGTGTGAAACTTGGTCTCTGACATTAAGGGAAGAATTGAGGGTGTTTGAGAACAGGGTGCTGAGGAGAATAATTGGACTGAAGAGAAATGAAGTGAGAGGAGGTTAGAGAAAACTTTATAATGAGGAACTTCATAACTTGTACTCTTCTCCAAGTATAATTAGAATGATCAAGTCAATGTTGAGGTGGGCAGGGCATGCAGCGTGAATGGGGGAGACGATACCTGTACGATATTGGTGGGAAAACCAGAATGAAAGAGACCACTGGGAAGACCAAGGTGTAGGTGGGTGGCCAATATTAAAATGGATCTTAGAGAGATAGGATGGGATAGTATGGATTGGATTAATCTGGCTGAGGATAGGGACCAGTGGACCGCTCTTATGAACACGGTAATGAACCTTCGGGTTCCATAAAATGCTATGAAATTCTTGAGTAGCTGCAGAATTGGCTTCTCCTCAAGAAGGGTTCAGCTCCATGAGTAAGTAAGTAAGTTCACTATTGGCCACTTCAATATTTCGCGTCACTTTTATTTCAATTTTGTTAGTTTGGGGCTACTCACTTCAGACGAAATTCCTATAAAAGTAAACCCAGTTACATCTTCTCACTATGTCATATTCCTTGTTCTTTTCTTTTGTTATTAACTAATTTGACTAAACAGAAGGAGATATCTCAAACAGTGTTTTGTTTTTCGAAGTATGGTGCTCAGCTACATTCTCTTCACGAATCGGTATTAGTGAAATGCATGGTTTCTCAAGCCTCCCAGGCGGTAGCGTCCTGCTGTGGGAGGTCGCCTGGTTCTGTATCTACGCACAGTTTCGGCTATTCAGTAAGATTTAGATGTTTTTAAAAAATGTAGCTGCGGCCGGCGAAAGGTTTCTCGCGAATATTTTAATGAATGTACAGGATCGCTTTAGTAACCGGAATATCTCATTCGGTATAGCGACGGACAAGGGACTGGAAAATCTATTTTCGATTCCCGGCAGGGAAAATAGATTTTCTCTACTCTACAGCGTTCCGGCAGGCGCTGAGGCCCACCGAACCTCCTATCCAATGAGTACCGGGGGCTCTTTCCCCAAGAGTAAAGAGAGGCGTGGGCATGAAGCTGTCCGCTCCATTTTCTAGTGACGAGGTCAGTAACTTATCCATACCTCTTTCTGGCGTGGTTCCTAATTAATTAAGCACAACAACAACTTCACCTTTCACGTTGTAACTTTACAGGAACAGTTTATGTATAAGTGTCTATAGGTGTAGAGAGATTTCAAAGCTATTCAGGTTCCTGCTGTCATCGTACAGTCCAAGAGAGACCAAAACGAGGTGCAGAACTGCACTTTTTGCTGAGCTCCAGAGATGGGAGTGGAGCTGCTAAAATCTATTTGTTATTTTACAGAGTGGCAGTAGCACAGAATTTGAAAACCCCTGCAATAACATTTCCCCCGGAATGAACACCCATTCGTCTCTCATTGTAAAGTTCAAATGATTGTCTACAAATTCAAATTTTGTCCTGTTTGGACGTCTACACGTGCTGCTTTATCGCATAAACTTAATACATACAGTGAAACCTGTCTTAAACGGAATCTCAAGGGACCAGAAAAATTTCCGTTGAAGCCAGGTTTCCGTTTAATCGGGATATACTATTATAACTAAACCAGGACATAAACGTATTTGAGACAAAACAAAACAACATGCTCATTAATTTATTCACACTATATTCATTGAACACATGCAAACATTGCACTGAACAGGAAAAAATTGCAGTACTCACTTTTTATAATTTTACCAGAATTACGGAAGAGATTTTTGCACGCAGTTTACTCACTTGGCTGCCTGACTTTCCACAAACACTTTAGCTTGAGAAATTACAGTAAGCATGTCTGAATCATTCCGTTGCACGGCAAAGTCCTGCAGTACCTTTAAACTGTTGGCAGCATCCTGATAAGTCTTCACTCTACACTTTCCTTCTATCACAACGTCATTTTCCTCTTCTTCTTCTTCTTCTTCTTCTTCTTCCTCCTCCTCCTCCTCCTTTTCGATTTTCTTAAAATTCTCACCTAATACATCGATATCCATTGTGTCTGGTTCCCTTTGCACATCTTTGTCTATGTTGATGTAGTCCTCAGCATTGCAGTTACTGAAAGCAGCTTCATTCATGCAATGTTGTAAGTCCTTCTGGTCATTCTCATTTTCTACACTAGGAGTAACTTGTACCGTAGGAAATGCTGCTTTTTCGAGCCACTTTGTCACAGTTTCTGGTAACAACTTCTTTACTGCTTGACTTATCCAAATAACCGCATCTAGAACCGAGACAGTTCTTGCAAGTTCAGAGGAGGATGATGTAGAATCTATATTGACGAGCAAAGATTGCATTAATAATTTACGATAGTGGACCTTAACATTCCGAATGATGCCCTGATCCATTGGTTGAGAAACACTAGTGGTGTTTGGAGGGAACCAAGCAAGTCGCACGTTGGAAAGTTCGATATGGGGGTGGCATGTTGCGTTATCCAAGAACAACAAAACATGCCGGTTTTGCATTTTCATTCTACCATTGAAGGCCGTTAACCATTCCTCCATGATCTGTGACGTCATCCATGCCTTTTTGTTGGATCTCCACTCAACGGGAAGTTTCTGTATGTCCATGTTTCGGAAGCATCATGGCTTTGCTGCCTTGCCAATTACTAAGGTTTTCCCCATTTCACCTGACATAAAAAACCACATAGAAAAACAGTCAATCCTTCTTTGCACAGTTTTTCTCCCAAACATTTTTCACCTTTCAGACATAGCGATTTATTGGGAAGCGCGCGGAAGAACAGTCCAGTCTCATCACCGTTCGCTATGTTTTCAGGTTCATATCCCTCGATTATGGATGGCAATTTAGCTTCCCATTCCTCAATGGTCTCACTATTTACATCACTTGACTCACCACGAAGTTCATTAAAAACTATCGGATGTCTTTTGCGAAAACTCTCCAACCATCCGTTAGATGCTTTGAATTCAGTCTTCCCCAGTTTTTCAGCAAATTTTTAGCATATTCATGTACCATAGGACCCGACAACCGGCGATTTTTCGCCCTCACACTGACAAACCACTCCCACACTTTTTCATTAACGTCTTCGTTTGCATTTTTGTTAAGTTCTCTTTTTATTTTCCGATTAGCACGGGTTTCCCACCGCTTCAAAATTTCCGTTTTCTTCTTTATAATCTCATACACTTGAGTTTTACCGACGTTAAACATCTTAATGATCTGAAGAAAGCAGTCTTCTGGGATTTGGCACCGTCACCACCGTGAAAGCCTCAAATCTTACATCTTAATGATCTGCTTAACAGACAATTCATCTCGCTCACTCGCATGGATCACTTTTAATCTTGTGTTAAGATCAAGCACAACTCTTGTCTTTGTAGCCATGATGACAACTGCTAGACTAAAGTAAAACTGTAGGCCTAGAGCCCTTACTGAATACAGTTTCCAGAAGGGGAAAACAATTCTGCTGAATCTCAGTGCAGGTAGTGCAGTACCGTTAGAAACTTATTTTAAAGGGTTAGAGAAAACAAAATTCTATAGAATGTATAGGATGCCTAAAATTATTCTAAACGATACATTCCGGAAGACTGGAAATTTTCCGTATAAAGGCTTATTTTGATTTCCGTTGTCCGCGTTAGACAGTTTCCGTTTAATCCAGGTTATTTAACATCTTTTTCAGCCCCAAAATCAAGGGACCTTAAAATATTTCCGTTTAAGACAGATTTCCGTTTAATAAAGGGTCAGTTTAAGGCAGGTTTTACTGTATTATGTGTCGTTAAGTTGAGGCTGTGTCATATTGGCCACACTGAACACTTGCTGCTGCAAGAGAACTAGTCTGATCGTGACAGAATTTCTGGCGAGGACTCAGTGGGTCTGGTCTAGTGTTCAATAGAAACGCTTCAGTCTTGCATTCGCGGCAAGCGGGAAGAGAAAAAGAGCCACTCAACTGAAATAATTTTTTATATCTTTCGTAAAACATGCATAGCCAACTAATTAACTCCATGAAACTGAGTCCTTATTAAGAAGCCGTCAGTCGCTCAGCTACTCAAGAATTCCCAACAGTTTACGGAACCCGAAGGTTCATTACCGTGTTCACGAGAGCCTGCCACTGGTCCCTATCCTGAGCCAGATTACTATGTCCGTACCACCCCGTCCTATCTCTTTATGATATATTTTAATATTATCCTCCCACCTATAGGTGGGATAGCGCAGTCGGTATATTGAGTGTTTACTGACTAGATGACCGAAGCGTCGGAATTTGAGTCCGGTAGGGTCAAGAATTTTCACTTCTCAATATCGTCCAGACCTGATCTGAGGTCCACACATGCTCCTATTCAATAGGTACTGGGGGCTCTTTCCCAGGGGGTAAAGTGGCCGGGGCGTAAATTTGACCGTTCAACTTCAACTAGTGCCGAGGACAAGAAAATGCGGATCTATACATTCACTTCTCCATACACCTTCATGGCGTAGTGCTTAATTAGTTAGTACACTGCCAACTTCACCTTTCTTACTACCCATCTAGTTTTTACTTAGTATTGTGGGAGGGGGTGAGACGGAGTCCTCTTGCTACGTCGGTCACTTATTGGCCTATTGCACCAGCCCCGGCTGATAGACGGCTAGGAAGAATTTGGTGGAATGGAAATTGGATGTCAGCCACAGTGCCACTTTGTCAATGACAAATTCCACGTGACTTAATTTGGGGCCGATCTCTGGTAGCCGTGGTGGGAAGCCGGCGGTCCATCTAGGTCAAAATAAACGTAGTATACTTCAAGTAAAAATTACAAGACAGTATAAATTAAGCTGCGGTACAACAGTAGCCTGCGTACCACTGGTTGAGGAAAACTACTTCATAACCGAGATAGTTAAATACCGTTGCCACTCATATATGTTTAACATATGAAGAAAAATTATAGCAGTTATCTGGAAAAAGGCGGGTATCTCCATGTGTGTAAATATCCCGCCAATCCCATTCTTTATTTAAACACCATAACAATATTAAGTAAAGAACACAAATTGGGAAGTTCCTTAGTATGTATTTTTTCTGTGCTGTTATTTATTCTTTTTATATCCAAGTATTATATTCAACAACTTGTTTTCTTACACGAGTAAATTTGCCACGGTAAGACATCACGTAAACAGAACAGCTGTTATATTGTCACATTTATGGGTGACTAAAGACCGGGTTTTGTTTGGAAATTGAATTTATTGGATACTTACAGGTCGTACCTACAAATAATTATAACAGTTTTAGTGATTTTCACCCTACAAAGCACTCCACGCCAATCTCTTCAGTCTATCTTTAGTAGTCTTCACGGATTTATAACACAGGAATTTTAAGTCTCACTCCATTATATACTCCCAACATCACTGTGCTACAGCACATGTAACATCACACTAAGTCTTCTAATTCTTCTTCTGGCCACACTGCTGTTCCCTTGGAACTTCGAAACTCAAGTGAAGTACATCTATTACTTACTCCTCCAGCTAACGACTGCCTCGTAACTGTTCTGAACCCTCTTGGAGTCTTACTTATATTGCCGCGGAACGGACATGCATTACAGGAAACATATGTCACGTGATTGCTATCCAGCCAGTATATTTGCGCGTCGGTCGGATCTACAGAAAACAGCCTTCTCTATTGTTACGTGTTAGAACGTGTTTACAGAGCTGTTGCCTGAAAACGCGTTGATCAAATCCGGTACAATATTGTGTTACGTTGTATTACGTATTCAGTTCTATTGGACTTGCTTAACGCGCTGGAATACTATTTTGTTCAGCCATTGTTAATTCGCTTGTATAAAAATAACTTCAAGTTTCAGTGTTAAAACCTACTCAAAACCTCTACATACATATACTACAGCTGTAGTTTATTATGCAAACCACCGAACAGTGTCGTCTAGAAGTAACGCTGTAGTCTTTCATTCGGTTGAACCCCAGTTCGAATCTCGGCCGAGACATAGCTATCCGGACAGGGATTTTGTGGTCTTTCTCAGTCTCTCCGGGAAAATTTTGGAATAGTAGCCCGATTAAGTCACTACTGCTTTTTTCCATAGTCTTCCCAATTCATACCCCAGTCATCCTCTCACCAGACGCTGTGTAGTGTAAGTGCTTAAGGAAAAATGAAATCATTTAGCAAATTACACACGTGCAGTTTCATCCAACGGCGCTTTCCAGCACTTAAGGACATTACGCTCTCAGAAAAGCGTGCACGAGACTCAATCTGTCGAATTATGCTACCGTTCTGATTGCAGTGCTCTTCTTTCGCGACTCGATGCTGTTGTCAGGGCTGTCCATGGTGGTTGCCATTACTTTGCGAGGTGTGACCTCCACTTCGGCAGCCCCTCCTCTTTGGACAGCTCAGACCATAAGTTGGATGCTACGTTATCGGACTGGCCAGCTCCTCCTTCGATTAAAGCTATCAGCTGAAGTAAGTACATCCATAATCTGTTTAAGATAGCAATTCTGGGAAAAGTCATGCTATTTAAGGAATCAGTATAAAGGTATGCTCCGATCTACGTGGTTTCCGTTTGCAGGTCAGTATCTTCATAGAGGCCTATATATAGCCTGCCCATCCCTCCACCACGTCAGAGCATTTCATTTGTTTCTGGAAAATGCAAAGAAAATAAAACATGACTTGACTAAATTACAGAAGGATATTCAAGCTCAGACGCTGCAACTGCTGAGCAAGAAACTTCTCTTGATGTAGTTATTCCGTTCGAAGTACCCTGCACAAACTACCAAACATCCTTGATCTAAACGTGTAAAGTCATGTTCAGAATAATTTTGCTAGTTAAGAATAATACGTATGTATTATTAGAGTGCGGTTTCACTTTATCAAAAGAATGACCACAATACGTTAACCAAATTTGTCATTAAGATATACGTACCTATTGGGGCCACGCGGTAGCGTAGTTGGTTGAGGCGCTATGCTACAAGCTGGAAGGTCGCGGTTTTTAAATCCCGAAGAAATGGATTTTTTTTCAATTTACCTAATCCATCCAGCCGCACTATGGCCCTGGGTTCGACTCAGCCTCTAACACAAATGAGTACCAGGAATAATTCTGAGGGGTAAAGGACAGCCGGAGCGTAAGGCTGACAACCTCACCGCCATCTGTGAGCCGATTGTCTAGAAAATGTGGGAGCCTCGACGTCTCACAACCCTATGGGCCTTCACGGTCTGTTACAGGGATAGCTTTACCTTTTCGAACACCGAATATGTAAAAAAGAAAAGCCTTATATTTGAGCGTTTTCGCTTTGTGTGGTATTTCCAGGACGTGCAGCTACCACATAAATCGGGGTATACCTAATGAACTTTGCTTCGAAACCTCCATCCAGTCTCTCTCCTTAGTCTCATGAATCATACAATCATCAGTTTTCATTCAGGATCGCATTCACCACACCTTAAAGGAATTTGTTTAACAAAACAGAAGAAACGAATAGTACAGGTCTACCCTCTCTAGTCCTTCTTAGTCTGGTCAGGAATAAACACTCAGGCCTATGCCGCAAGGCGATAAACAGAAATAAATTGATATTAGAACTTTATATAGCAATAAATATTTCGAATCTTAATAGTGTGCATCCTGTTGTGTGTTATGAAGCCGTGTGGAGGCGGGGTCGAATACCTCCACCGTGACCCTGCGAGTCGTAGGAGTCGAAGAAAAGCGAAAACTCAAATCTGAGACAGTAAAATATGGTCGCGAGTCCCAAGGTACTCGAACCCGAGAAAGACTGCGCTAGCAAGGACCAGCAGTATATACAAAAGGCAGACCCGTCCTTTCGTCAGAGAGAGCGCCCCACAAAAACAAGACCGTAACTGTCAAACAGTAATAAATATCTGGTCATGAGTCCCAGATGGGGCTCGACACTAAGGCTTACTGACTGACTGACCGGCAGTCACAATGTGACTTTGACTTGTGTTATGAACAAGATATGTAAAAGTACACAAGGTATGCAGTCTACAAAACAATATTCTGTATTTAGTTTCTAATTTTAACCTTTATATCTTTAATTTAAAAAATTTCTTATCTAAGCAGTTTTGAATTTTAAATTCTGACCAAAAAGACTCAATTTATGAACTTATGCAAATAATTAAAGGTATAATAAGGATCTTTACTTGAAGAACTGGAAAAAAAATTAATTGCAATAGCTGAAGCTCGAGCATTGTACGTTTGATGTTGGCCAGGTATTAGGGTCGAAATGTGTTGCATTTGTAAAAACTGTAACCGATCTGCCTACCCCAGCTCCATTTAATTTGGTAGAATGTTTGGATCCGGGTAAATAAACCTGTTCGTTTAGGTTTACTTATAACCTACAGCAAATGGACGAGAGGGACATAGACTATTTCTTCACCTCAAGAAGGAGTTTTAGCCCAAACTCTCCAATGAAAAAGACAATAAAATACGACTGGTCAAGGCAGATGTGGAAAGAAACAGGAGGACCCCCGGCAGCTTGGTTCTATAGAGAGTCGCACAAAATTTTACTTGTCTGAATCCTTGGAGAACACAATAAGTGACAGTTTTGAACCCATAACTCAAAAGATGGGTGGTCTCCCAACCCCAAGCCAAGCGTAACATTTTTCAAACAACTGACAGATTTTACGTTAAGTGTTAGCGCTTAAATTCACTGTAAAGTGTAAACGGATTGGGGGAATACTTAATTAGTGTATTCCCATTTTTTGAAAATGAATAATCCTCGTAATTTCTGGAGTTGACTGGTGGACCGAGGCGACTCCGAGGGTTGCGAGGAGAAGGCATTCAAGGAGTCTTATTCAAAATCCCAAACCATTCGGACTCAAATTCTGCAAGGAGTCTTACTCTAGATTGAAAACTATTAGGACGAAATTTCTAAAAGAGAAGTCATTGGAGAGAGTCTGGTTCAAGATCGCAAACTCAGCGGACACAATTTGAATGTAGTGCGTCAGTGGGGTCCACTATGGGCAAGAGTTTAATAAAGTGTCTGGTGGAACAAAGTGTGTGTGTGTGTGTGTGTGTGTTGTAACAGGAGTTCCCACTTCCCTTCCTGAGCGAGACCCTGCCAAACGGCCTGAGGTCAGAGAGCTAGCTCTACCGGCGGAACTAGCTACCCCGAGAGCTACCCCCTTATCAATCCTTCACACCTTCATAAATCTGTAAACTGATGGTAGCAGTTTACTGGCGCCCAAACCAAACCCACCCCGTTAAAAATCAGAGGTTTGAAAGTAGGAAGTGAAGCAGGGTAAAGCCAGCTGTAGCCGCCTTCGCCCAAAGTAGTCCAGCAGCCAGCGGCCGACGACCAACGTAGACCAACTGTGGGGCAGTTATGACGTGACGCTCAACGTAAGGGTAAAACGACGACGATAATTAGATGGCGCCAAACGTGTAGGCAAACGATTGTAAAACAAATATGAACAAATGTTGATACAGTAGTGTCTTCTTTGTTTTTTAACTACAGAATATTGTTGTGTAAGCTGCATACCTCATATACCTTTATATACCTTATTTATTTCAAAGTTTGCAGCATCTTCATTTTACTTTTAGAACATTGGAAATAACAATTTTGTGAACTCATTAAACATATGGCCCGCTGATAATAGCTGACAACTATAACTACAGACAATGTCCGAATTACATTTAACACGACTTGCAGTCAGCGTGAGACCTGGCTATTTCTATTATTTTGGAAAGCTGCTAGAATTATTGTCATCTGCCTTTCATAATGCTTCGTTTTCCATCTGCGCGATTTGAAGCATATTCTTCTGTTCTACATCAGAACGAGGTTTGCAGAAAACCTTTCTGTAATTCGTGCTGGAAGGGAGACTCGAAACCTGTGACTCTTATCCGATAGACCTGTGGGTCAAAATAAATACTGTAATCGAACTTTTCGTAATCCTAAACTTAGCCACAGCATTGATGGGAGCTTGTACTGAGCATTTCTTCTTACAGGGCGCTGGATCCGACAGGACGGGAGGAACTGAAGAATCTGAGCCCATAGGAAACCTTCCTGCAGACGACACGCATGGCTGGGCGCTGATCGCCATTTTGGTCGATCGAGTTTGCTTTCTAGTGTTCACTTTGGTGTATTTATTCTTATTTGCTAGATGTCTGGTGTAAGAGATATGCTTAGTTGGAAATTTCGGATTATGACAACAGTAGCCTCTGGTATGACATGCTATGCAGTCTTCAAGTTTCTTACCAGCATTCGGAGCAGAATGCTGCCTCCTTCTATCCTGAAGATGGTTCCTCTGAAACATTGGTCACAACCTACCAGACCACACTGCCTCACATCCTAAAAGACAGCATTCTTCATAAGGAATACTTCTCCAGAAATTCTTAGAAACAAAGCCAGTTTTACATGCAGGACAGTAACTTAGGGTGGCTGAAAGTCTGTTAACTGGTTCCTAAAAGCTACACAGAATACATTTGGAATTTCTTTATTATTTACAGGATCTACAAAAAATGTATCGAAATGAGATCCTTCATGTTCAACCCACAACTCACAGAGCTGTGATACAATTCAACAAATTGACTGGAAGGTTTGAATCCAAAATTTCCCGTTAATACGAGGGGATGTTTTAGGTTAACTGATGTTTGGGAGGGTCCCTGCTTTTTCGTGTTTTTGACTGTACTCATATGAGTCAGACGTCAAGCAGTAGGCCTTAATATTGAGATATTTGCATTCAGGTTCATCAAAATGCCAAATTATTCTACGAACATTTATTGCAAGAACAAGGTGCACTGCACATTGCTCGTGCAAGTGAAACACGCCAATGGAACCTTTCAGTAGAGATCTGCAACTGGAGGGAAGTGTTGAGCCGAGATAAGACATTTTGATTCCATCTGCACCTTTCGCTTCTGTTCAACCATGATGTACAATCCTGCCATACTTGGGTGCAAACTATCACCAGGGCTGATAATTACTGCTGATGGAAGAAGCTGCGGCAGCAGAATGAAACAAAGTAATTTGATTTCGACTCCTGAGAGAGCCGAGGAGCTTATGTCCCCACACGTTTACTTAACTTGGCTCCTGACATTTGATTAATCGGTTCTATACGGAGAAACTGAATTTGAATGTTTTCTACATATTGGCAATACTTCAGAAAATGTGGTCGCTTGTGTCTTGTTCGTAATATATATCTACTGTGTTAGATGTTTCTGTCAATTGTAATGTATATTGTAACAAATCTTAGAAATGAAAAGCTCAACTAAGTATGGAGGATAACATGAACGTAACTTGCACGCGTGTGCAACCGCTCAGTTTCACAAACATTACCTTACAATGAACCGGGAGCACCGTATAAGCCGGGATGTAAGGCCAATACTTTTTTCCTCCAAACATTGCTTCTTAGGAAAGAGGGGCCCCCTTATTTTTGTGTCCTTAAGAATAAATACGAAGAAGGTGAATATGACAAGTTTCGTGAAAATATCTAGAATTATATTTAAGGCGTTGAGTTTTGAATACATTGCCTCCTAATGGTGTAGTTTTTGCTTTCAATCCTCAGAACGAAATGGCATACTCAATTTTGTTAGAAGAAATTTTTCATAATTTTCTCACAGGAAATATTGGCTTGTATGGTAAATACAGTCCGGTATAGTTACCAAATGCCGGTCACGGTAGCCGAGCGGTCTAAGGCATGCACTGTCTTCGCTCGCTCGGAAGTCGAGATCGTGGGTTCGAATCCCACTCAGAGCATGGATGTTTGTGTGCGTTTTTCTGTGTTTGTCTACAGGTAGAGGCCTTGCGACTAGCTGATCACTCGCCCAAGGAGTCCTGCCGTATGTGTGAGATCTAGAAAAAACCGAAGTGAACGGAGAAGTTCATGGAGGTAGGCCTAGGCCCACTGGGGCTGTAGTGCCAAGGAAAAAAAATAGTTACCAAATAAAGGCACCGTATCTTTGTCGTTACAGATAAGTTAGAGAAGGTAATGATTATGGCCCAACAGCAGGGGTTGGTCCGAGGGGCAGGGCAGGGATTTAATGAAGCGTGATACTGGGGATGCACATTTAAGCTCACTCAGCTAGTCTTGCTGTGCTTTGTATGGGCGCAATATAACTGTACGCGAAGTTTAATTGACACTTTTACATCATTTTCAGAAAAGAGAAAGAAGACGTAAAGTGGCCTATGATAGGTCTCATTGCTCTCTGTAGATTATGTTTGTAACAGTCTCGATATGGCGAAATACACGGACCCTCTACAGTGTGGCATCTGCAATGCGACTGCGCCATTTATTTCACGATAGATTTCTTACTGATATAAACTGAGCCTGATAAGATATAAGGCTAGACAGGCCATGACCGACTCACATAGCAACACCCCAGCTTAAGGGTTAATGCCCTCCCATTAACCTTGCCTTTATCTCCCCCGACACAATATCTTGTACAAACCCTGCTTTACTCTCTCCACTGATTTCCCATGTAGACTCCCCCCCCCCTCCTCTTCATGACTGTCACATAGCTGAGTTTATTTCCAACATCAGTCCAGTCTGCTTGCACCGGTTCTCACTGTCTCTTCAATTGCGGATTTTCTTATTTTTCCTTCTACCCTGAAGATGGAGGCGATACGTTCCTCCGAAACGTCGGTTAACAGCACATGTACACGGTGCCATATCCCAGAAGAATGCTTTCTTCATCTTGTAAAGTGGCTGCACTTTGCAACAATGTCTTCTCTTCCATCGGAGACAAGATAGTAGAGTTGCTAGTTAGAGACCGGACGACCGGTGGTCGATTCCCTGAAGGGGCACGATTTCTGTCTTCGCAACAATATCCAAACTTACTCTGAAGTCAGTTTGATTCTTTATCTGATTGGCACCGACTGCTTCTTCGCCGCAGACAAGAAAGCGCTCGTGTCATGGGGGGCTGGGGAAAACCAAGATATATCTCAGTCAAAATATCCTGTTTAAGAGCCTAAACTAGAAGCCGCAGTCTTCCGCATAGACAGGAGGCGTGCTAAAGAAATAAAAATGCACACAAAAAATGTAAAGAAAGAAGAAAGGAAGATAGATAAACAGAAACAGAAAAAGAAAGAAAAATAACCTCCAACTGCGATTTTCTATAAATTTTGTTGCTTATAATTATTTGTCTTCGTTATGTGTGGGCTTAGTAACCACCATTGCATGTCCTTGTATAATTGGCTGAGATAACAATTAAGGACGAATTGTATCAGTGATGATACTGAAGTCGCCTCTCATTTCCTGTCGCTGCGAGCCTAGCTTCCCTAGGGGACAGGGCCGCTCCACCGAAATGTATCTCTCTGACATCAAGAAGGGTGTCCTGTGACACAGCTGAGATCTAACATGGCTGCAGCAGTGTTCCAAATTATATCTGAAATACTGCAGCCAAATGTCAATCACAAAGTCCCGGCAGATGAATTAAAGTTTTATGTAAATTTGGAAAAAGGGATAAAAGACTGTGCAGATTTGAGGTCGTGTGGGTCTTTAGTTGCTCGATCATTGGGATCAGGATTAAGAATCTCACTTTATAAACGATCTTACATTTGCTTATTTTGTATTGTTGACTGCGCTGCAGTAGGGTCCGATTGAATTGTACTAAATTTTTCTCATAATATTCAGTTCTTAAAAATTAATTCTTAATGAAGTCACAGAACAGGGCCTATTTCTTGACAGTTGTCAGACGAGAGCATATTTGCAATGATACAAAATGTTTGTTAAGCAGGCGATAAAATAGGGCAGTGTGACGAGAATGTGAGGAGACCGAGACAAGGAAACAGTAGAGATGGGAGAACATCTCAGCTCCCAACATACACGATTACCTGACTAAATAGCTAATTGACTCACTCCGTGGAGTAGGGTCCTCCTTAGGAAGCTGAGACTAATTCAGCTGAGCAATAAATTTTCCATCCTTTATGGGATCTGAATGTTTATTATCTTCTTCACAAGAATGCACAACTGGCCATAGTTTGAACTATTTGTATTCAGTTCACATCACATTATGTTTATTTAAGTTTCATCTTAATATCATCCTCCCATCTATGCCCAAGTCTCGCAAGTGTTCCCTTCTATTCAGGTTACCTGAAAAAAATAAATGGTGTCCATTTTTAATTTCCATGTGCGTGTACTTTGTACCGTGCAGTTTATTCTCTTTGAATTTCTCATCTTTGGTTTGACTGGCGAAGAAAACAAATTATGAAGTTCCTCCTTACAGAAATTCTCCATCCTTCTGCTAAGTTCACTCTCTGAAGTCAGAATATTGTTCTCGCCACTTTGTGCCCCAAGTCCAGGATCTGCCTTAGGTACACGATAAGACAAGATAAATAAGAAACACCAGACACACAATGTACACAGAGAAGATTGACGCCTCTTGTCTGGCAAATTGTTACTGACGTGAGAACCACCGTGAAGATCAGATCTTGCATGAGGTAAAACGCAGATGCTACACCTGTAGGCCTACCGTATTTGTTTTGGAGATGAAACATGGGGACAAAGAAGTCCCCTCCATAAGGCGTTAAATGTATACACATCTGAGGCTTGATCAGTCTGGTTATTGTCCTCTCCCTCGCTGGACATACATTTATATTTTTTTGCAAGGAGACACAAAACAAATATTTTTATACATGGAAGAAACAAAACAAGGTAAAGGAACGGAAGTTCCGGAGCCAAAACTTGATGGCATCTTCCAGAAATGCTCTAAACCGATCACGTTCATTAAACGTTGTTCGCTACATGCCGAGAGAAACCTCTCGAAAACAACGGCAGTCGCAGTGGCAGCAAAACAGTAAAGGGAGGAACACACAAGTATGATAAGAACATCCTTTTAGAGGCGGGAGACAATCAGAAGCACTGCTTTTATTTATATTTAGTCTGGCGCTCATCTTGAAGTCAATTGTTGTAGTTTCGCGTATAGTTCGGGAAATCCTGTACGTCCCGCCCGCCACTTCCGGTGTGCGCACACAGCGTGGTTCAGCCCCCTCCTCCTCGCGTTGCAGCAGCGAGCGTTGTGCAATTTGTCCTCAGTCGCAGTTCAGCTCGTGTGGAAGATGTTGGTTGTTGTGTGTACCAGCCTCCTGCTCTTGCTGGCCGTGTGTAGTGGGGCGCGTTACAGGGCCCCCTCACCGGGGCCGTGGGTGATCCCGACCGTAGGAGAACCATGGCCTAAGCCACAACAGCTTGTCAACTACGAGGGCTATGTTGTGGTCCGACCCACCGTATTCACCTTCGAGGTATGGAAACTATTTACGTGATATGACGAGTTTCATAATTTGTGCTATTAAAGACAAAAGAGTCCCGCGAAGGCCCGTAGGGGTGTGAGAAGTCGAGGCTCGCACATCATTTAGACAGTCGGCTCACAGATGGCGGTAGGGTTGTCAGCCTTACGCGCCGACCGTCCTTTACCTCCCAGGAAGGTTCCTGGTACTCATTTCTGTTATAGGCTGAGTCAAACCCAGGGCCATAGTGCGGCTGGAAATATTAGGTCAATTGAAAAATCCAATAACATCATCGGGATTCGATCCCGCGACCTTCCGGCTTGTACATAACATAGTACTTCAACAACGCTACCGCGTGCCCCCATTTGATCTATTGGGGGTCATTAATAAGGTGATTAAGTCAAGGAAGATTGGATTGGTGGTGTCTGCAACATAGCAGAATAAGAGATATTTGTACGAAATTGTGGTTGGGAAAACGAAAGGGATAAATCACTTGGTAGACCATGAAATAAGTGAGAATATAACATTAAAATTTATATTATACGTTTATAGTATAGTATTTAATATAAGATAAGTAAGAAAGGTCTACACATGAATGACACACACATAGAAACACGCAATCCCATATTTCAGACGATATAAGAAATCTATACAGACTAACGGTACCCCCCTCTTCCCAATCCACATTCCCCTCCTACACTCACCAACATGCAACACAGCACACAATACATCAGACAGCACACGTAGTAAAGACAAGCAGCGGCACGCACATAGAGATGCTACACAGAATAAGTACAAATAACAGTATAAACACATAAGAAAACGTTACATACATAAGATAGTAATACGAATATTTGTATATTACAGATAACACCGGTACAGTACTAGAAACAAGAAGTAGCCGCTGCATCACTATAGACATAGGGCGAGTACCCTGAAAATTTTAAATTTTAAATTTTAAATTTTAAAATTTAGAGAAAATTGAAAAGATTTTAAAATTAAAACTGAAGATTTTATGTGCTAATTCAGAGAAATCAAAATTGACGTGTGTAAATAACAAAGATATCAACGAAGTATGGTAATAACAACGAAAGGAACAATCAGGAAGACCTGTGTTTTTAAATTTTAAATGTTAAACTAAGTGCAGTGTGACAGATACGTGAGTAATACACCTGATGATGGCCGTTTGTGGCCGAAACATGTAGTGTGTAAAGGAGAGCAAAACGAAAGACCTACAATATATGGTTTGCACTGAAGACGGAGTTTGTATCTTGTATCGTATGGAGCGCAACAGGATGCTTAAATATAATATTGTATACCAATTTTATTATAATTGATGAAGAATGTACATTTTAATGATTTTATGAAAGACACATGATAGCAAGCAATGCAATAGCTTAGCGTAAATAAAACACCTGAAGATGGCACAATGTTGCCGAAACATGTAGTGAAGTGACATGTTAAATTGAGTGCACTACAAGACGGCCAATGCATACATATCATGGATAATAAACTACATATTAGAAAAAGACCAAGAAATAGATAAAGAAAGCCACAAGGAAATAATACATATATTAAAAACAGTATTTGAACAAAGCTATTTCCAAATTAACCGAGAATATTACAAACAAACAGATGGACTAGCTATGGAAGCCCCAACATCAGCAATAACAGCAAAGACATATATACAATATATGGAACATACACAAATATATACGATTCTAGTAAAACAACAAAGAGTGGCTTACTTTAGACATGTCGATGACATATTAATAATATATGATGAAAAGATAACGAACATAGAACATACTCTCAAAGAAATTAACGAATTGCAACCAACTATACACTTCACCGTTGAGAAAGAACAACAAGAATCTATTAATTTTCTAGATATAACAATACATCGTAAGGAAGATAGGTTGCAATTTGCAATATATAGGAAACCCACACAAACGGACATCATAATACCTAACAGTTCGTGCCATCCATTCGAGCACAAATTGTCAGGTATTAATTATCTAATAAATAGACTCTACACATACCCAATAACAGAAAAAGGAAAACAGATAGAGAAGAACACCATTAAAAACATATTAAATAACAACAGATACGACACAAACATAATTAACAGATCAAATCAGACAAGACGAAAACAGAAATCAAACACACGTGACGACGAACAACACCAAAAAAACAAAAAACAAAATGGGCCATATGTACCTACAGTACAAAAAGTACGAAAAATCACGAAAATTTTCGAAGACACACAGATAAAAGTAGCATTTCGTACACGCAACACAATTGTAAATATACTCAAACATAAACCACAATTTGATAAATACAATAAAAGTGGCATATACCAAATGAAATGTGCGGATTGCCCATTATAATACATTGGACAAACGGGCCGAACATTTAACACCAGATATAAGGAACATATACATGATATTAGAACTAATAATATAAATTCCGGATACTGAAATCACATACTAAATACAGGACATTCATACGGAACAATAACAGACGCAATGGAAGTTGTAAAAACGGGAAGGAAGGGTAGACATTTGAATACACTAGAGAAATACCATATATACACTTACAAAGCAAGTAAGAAAGGCCTACACAAGAATGACACACACACGCACACACACACACACACACACACACACACACACACACACACACACACACACACACACACACACACACACACACAGAAACACACAATCCCATATTTCAAACAATATGCGAGATCTATACAGACTAACGGTATCCTCCCTCCCCAGTACCCCTTCCTCTCCTACACTCAACAACATAAAAACAGCACACAACACACCAGACGACAAAAGTATTGAAGATGAGCAGTGACACACAGACAGGGAGCCTGCACAGAGTAAGTACACACAACAATATGAAACATATAAGAATAACGTAGGAACATAGGATAGTATACGAATGCTTGTGTATTACAGATAATACGTGAACGGTGCTGGAAACCAGAAATAGCCGCTGCAGCACATGTAGATACAGAGCGGGTGTCCCTGTCATTTAAAACTTAAAATTTTGAATTTTAAATTTTAAACTGGAATTCTAAAATCAAATTGACGAGCGTATGTTGGCGAGATTTTAAAGAAAACTGACAGACTGGTGTTTTAGATTTTAGATTGTGTGCAGTGTGACAACTACGTGGCGAAAAATACACCTGATGATGGCCCGTTGCGGCCGCAACATGTAGTGTAGGGGAAGAAAAGACAAAGAACTACAACCAAATAAATTGTTGCATTCACGATGGCATTTGTATTATTACATATAGAAGTATTAAAGTTGATCTTAGAAAAATGGGGGTTTGGAGCATATGGAGTGGATTCGACTGGCACAGACTAGACGCCAGAGGCGGGCTTTCGCGAACAGGATAATGGACTTCGGTTTTACTGAAAGTGGGAAATTTCTTGACCACTTGAGGCATTGTCGGTTCTTCGGGAAGGTTGTACTCCGTGGAGTCAGTCAGTCAGTCCATCAGTCAGGCCAGTCAGTCAGATGCTCACAATTCTAAAACAAGGACCGTGATAACTATTGCACTTGGTACGGCTAACTGTTATTTTACATTAAGTAAGTGGATTTGGCAAAGAATATTTCAGCTCAAACTATTACGTAAAATTGCTCGAAAGAAAATCCATTCGAAATTGGTAGGTCGTATGTACCTACGAATAGTCACGACATTGCTATAAATGTCTTTCCTATCGTCTTCTTCTTCTTAATAATAATACTACTGCTGCTGCTGCTGCTGCTGCTGCTACTACTACTACTACTACTAATAATAATCGTCATCATCTCCCCTCTTCTCCTCTTCCTGTCTGTCTTCCACTCTCCCTCGTTCCCTCACACATACACGTATATTAATCCTACCTGTCTTCCGTAATTATGATCTATCTACTTCCTTTCTCGTTCCTCATTAATCTTTGTTGTTGTTCTTTTCCTTTCCTTCCGATTGTTATGTATGATACTGCCTACTAGTCGTCACATTTGAGAGGTCTTAGGTTCAGTTTTTGCCGAAGCTGCTTAAGTGGTTTTACTCAGTTCAGGGGATATGGCTGCAGGAAACTGAATTTTCTCTCTGCAAGTTGTAACCTTTAACGTCCACCAACGCTCGGAAAGCCGTACAATCATATTCATTCACTAAAATCAGCTGACGTAATTCCTTTGCCTTTCTATATTCACGGAAATTGTAAAAAATACACGGCCATTCTTTTTCTCAGACTGGCCATGGTATTAACAATACAAGTATATCTACTATACTCATAAACAGTTTCCACTTCCTCTTCTTTTTTTATATATTAAAATATCGGCCACGAAGATCGGATATTCTGAATCTCTCGTTTTCAACAGTTCTTACTGGCAGATGCTGGAATAGCTCGTTAAAACAGGCAACAGTCGTTCAACCTTTCGAAGCAGTTGAAAATAGTTCCTTAAAGGAACCCCGTTCTGATAAACACTAGTGGCCTGAAAATATAAATTTCAAATGTCTATAATTAGAAAATTGAAGTGACCCCGGAGTATGTGGTAAAATTCATAAGAGACGTTATCATGCTTTCGAAAATCGTTGTCGTCGCCGTATCAACTACTGAGCTTATACAGAGTGCTCTTAATAAACTTGACGCCTTCACGGCTCTGCTTCACCGGGACCGGTGCACCGCCGGCCCCAAAGCACACGCGAATTTTGCCGATGACTCAGCATGCCGTTAACATTTGAAACGAAGGGAAGTTCTTACCTTTGTTCGCAGACACAGGAGGTGTTGAAAATTCTGGCCCTCTGTACGTAGGCACTCCTGATTTACCCTCTGAAGCTGTTCTGCAGGAGCATTTGCAATTTTGTAACGAATATTTTTTGGGGCTCTTCTTCCGTTCGGGGGTTACCGTTGTAAAGCACATACGTGCAGTGGTGAGGGGGGGGGTAGGGGGGGCAGTAGCTGAATCTTGCGGAAACCAGCCGTAGAGTCTTCCTTCTTCTATTAACTCGAGAAAGAATTGCCCGAGAATGATCTGTGCATATCTTTCGCAATTAATTGTTTCGTTGAAAACCACAGGTACAGCAATCTTCCTTGCACTTAAAGCACACCAGACACCAACTTCCAAGCAGGACATTGTGGGTTAGATGTGGATTCTGTGAACTCCAGTAGTGATTGTGTTGCGTATTTATGTATCCCTGCAAGTGAAACCATTCTTCATCGGAGAAGAATATCAGTTGTGGATCATTCTCACCTTCGGCAACAGTCTGTAGAAACCAACTAAGAAGTGAACCCTGTCAGCTGGATCGTGCGGCTGGAAGGCATGGCTTACTGTTGTTTTATAGGGTCTAAGCTTCAGCAGTTGTGTTGCCTTCTTGTACTAGACTTTGTCACTGCAGTCTTTCGATCTAGACGTTTCAGTGATTTTCTAGGTGTATGTTCAAATGTGCCCCATATTTCATCTAATTTCTCCTCAGTAAGCCCTCGGCGCTTATGTTTTTGTTTCTTGTCTATTAGGAGTCCCCTTGTTCTAAGTTTATTTATCAAATTGTGAATTTTTTGTCTGCTGGAAACGCTTTCATCACGAAATTTACGTCCAAATTTTCGCTGACGCTTTCCAGCAGATCCGCATTTCACTTAGGCGTCATACAGAAATACACGTTGCTCCAAAGTGTAGCGAACTATGTTGTGCCACACTGCTTAATAACTGTTAACTGGGAACAAATGGCTCATGGCGCTAATAACTACTGCTTACTGCTGATAAATCATAAACAGACTCCCATGCATGAACCGCACTGCCCGCCGTGTAACATAATACTGTGTAGAGGTCTACAAGTTAATTATTTTCCTTCATTCCAAACGTTGTCGGCCGTCAAGCATGCTGGGTCATCGGCAAAATTTGGGTGCGCTTCGCGGCCGGCGATGCACCGGTCGCGGTGGAGCGCAACACCGTGAACTCGTCAATAGCTTTAAAGATGCCCATGTACGTATGTTGTCAGAGGAAATATGGGCAGCAGCATCGTTGCCTAACTTATGATAACTAAATGGGATCTACCTGGAAGAACTGAGGCAAAGCACGACAAACTTGGGTTATGATTGTCTCCGGTCAAGATTCAAACAGCGCCTTATGAATGCGGACCAGGCAACATTGCCGTCGTGTCAGTCTGTTCTGTGTCGGTCCCGTTATATCACGAGGCTGTTTCTGCAGTTCATAGTTACTGATCCAGACTGCCTGCCTTCGACTTATCATTCCGTCCCGTAGAGAAATTAGTTTGAGTGTATAGAGGGTCATGCTTTAAACGAACGCAAGAAAACCCTTTTCCGTTGCAGGTAACTCGCGAGGACTGCGATCTCATCCAGGAGGCAATGAAACGTTACTATCGAGTAGTCCTGCAAACCCTGGACAGAGGAATACAAAAGCGGACATCTCGCCGGGCTGCAGACAAGAGATGGAGGAAGGACTCCAGATTCAAAGCTTACCTCGATTCCTTGGAGATACAGTTAATGGCTCCCTGTGAGGTACTGCCATACTTGCATATGGACGAACACTGTGAGTATAATTCAGTCGCTTGAACATTCTAGAGATTGAATGAGGTGTTACACTACAGCCTTATTATTATATGGGGACTTCTGGCATTTAATTGTGTAGGTAACAAGGTTCAGTCCACTATCATGAACATACATATTGGAGGAGGCGTGGGTAAATTTGCTGATAGGAGATAGAGGTCGGGTCTGAAGACTCTGTTTTGTGATACTAGTGGGGTTGGCGTGACTAATAATAATAGGTTCTGGATCAGATGAATAGATTTATTGGACACTCATAAGTTGTAACAACAAATAATTATAACTCTTTAAAAATTACCGCAACTGTAAAAGAAAAGGAAAGCCGTGAAAGCCCATAGGGTTGTGAGACGTCGAGGCTCCCATATTTTCTAGACAATCGGCTCATAGATGGCGGTAAGATTGTCAGCCTTATGAGCCGGCCACCCTTTGCCCCCAAGAATATTCCAAGAATATTCCTGGTACTCATTTCTGTCAGAGGCTGAGTCGAACCCAGAGCCATAGTGCGGCTGGAAGGAATATGTAAATTGAAAAAATCCACCTCATCGGGATTCGATCCCAAAACCTTCCGGCTTGTAGCATAGTAGTTGGTTGAGGCATTATGCTACAAGCCGGAAGGTCGCAGGTTCAAGTCCCGATGAGATCATTGGATTTTTTTTCAATTGACCTATTCCTTCCAGCCGTATTACCTCCGAACAAAATGTCTCAGGTTCCCATTATATCAAATCAGGGTGGGCTTCAGAACTGGTCTGAATGTCATGGAGTGAAGAAAAGTCTCTGCCCCCTCAGGCAGTCGAAATCCAGCTCTCCAGCCTCGCCTTATGGACAAAGCTATCATGGGGCACAGTTGTTATTATATGTATTTTACCACTTACTTTGACGTTAATGAATTCTGCATTGTGCCTGCATAGTGCGTGTTATGTATACCATATGATTATCAGAATAAAGAGCGATAATTTCCTAAACAGCGTTACCCGATTGGTCTTGAAATGTAGACGGTATTTTCCGAGAGGTTGAAACCGAATTTTCGATGAATTTCAGGCTTACGTTAATGTATGAATATGATTTTGTTGGTGTGTCGCTCAGAGAACCCAGTGTAAGAACTGAAACCTTCGGTGTTTCAGACGAACTGAGGATAAACAGTCCAGACTTGCCCGGAGCAGCTCTGCTGACAAGTCAGTCAGTGTGGGGCATACTTCGTGGCATGGAGACCTTCACTCAGCTGCTCTGGCTGGACGAGACGGGGACTGCGGTTAGTGTTCCTGTAGGAATTCATGTGCATCAACTCCGGAGACCAAGCATAATATTTTATCTTGCAATGGGTTTGTCTAACCTCTGTATTCCGAGTCCCCGGGCCTCATATGTACGTTACAGTTGCAAACGTAAAACAAAACGGTAAAGCTATCCCTGTAACAGGCCGTGAAGGCCCATAGGGTTGTGAGACATCGAGGATTCCACATATTCTAGAGAATCGGCTCACAGATGGCGGTAAAGTCGTCAGCCGTCATTTACCCCTAGGAAGATTCCTGGTACTCATTTCTTGTAGAGACTGAGTCAACCCCAGGGCCATAGTATGGCTGGAAGGATCCCATCCCATCGGGACTCGAACCCGCGACCTTTCGGCTTGTAGCATAGTGTCTAAACTAACTACACTACCGCGTGCCCCGTACGTTACAGTTAAACTTCGAAAATCGTTTCAAAGTTTATAGGAGAAAAAAATTGAATTTTTGTGTCAAGGAGACTTGTAGAGTAAAAATTATTTAATTTCTGCAGAAGCCACCTGCAGTTGCAGTCCGTGGATCATATTCTTTTGGCCCATCTCAGTTTTATTTCTAAGTCATTATTTGTTTTACTGACCCACTGTGCTCTGAGTTAACACTGTCGGTTTTCAGACTAAAAATAATATTAGGGATTTCCCTGATGCATTTGCAGACAAGGCCTCCAGCGACATTTTTAAAGTTGGTGTGGGAGGAATTGAAAAAGTATGTGCACATATGAGAGGATGTGTTTGGAAAGTGAACCTAAGAATGCATTTTCTTGATTGAATGATTCCTGAGTAGTCTAAAACACATTTAAACCTCAAATTTAAGTGATAAGATGTGAGAAAATCGAGAAGGGATGGAATTGGATGAGAGATATGCTCCGTTAATGCTAATTTACTGGGTGAAAACATAAATAGACTCGAGATTATTGCGTTTTTAGACTATGCTCACCGTCCGGTATTCTGAAAAATACGTTTCGGAGACTAGATCTGTTTCCGCCCACATGGGAGAGACACTGCTTATTCCGTTAGAAGTACAAGACATACGAACACAGAAACTGTATGGTCGCTATTGAATAGCGACAGTAAACAGAAAACTAAGCGTATGTTTATGTGACGTCATCAGAATGCGTAATAAAATCGCAATATGAAGACAGTGAATCCTTCGAACACGCGTCAAATTTAAAATATTTGTTATCAAAAACAACAGAACAAAATTGCATCTAGGAAGGAATTAAGAGAATATTATATTGAGAGAATGTTTGCTACAACTCGATTCGAAATTTTTTGTCATCGATTTCATAAAGAACCCCCCGAGGATTAAAATATATGGAACTACAAGGCTGTAGTTATGCCCGCTGTTTTACATGCTCATGAGTATTTGGCTGGTATGTCAAGGGAAGAACGTCCGAGAACAAAGTTTCTTCGGAAGATTGAGGGGACCAAAAATGGAGACTGGGAAAAAAATTGCATAACGAAGAGCCTCATAATTTGTACTCATTTACGATTATTATTAGGATGAGAAAATCAAGAATAATGAGATCGGCAGCGCATGTAGAATGAGGAAGAGAAATTAGAACTACATAGAAAATATTGGTCAGTAGATCTGAAAGGAAGAGGTCACTTGGAAGACTAAGCTTAGATTAGGGGATAATATTAAAATGAAAAGGTGATGGGAATATGTGAACCGGCTTATCTGGCCCAGGATATGGACCCGTGGCAAAATCTTGTAACGACAGTAACGAACCTTAGGGCTCCATATAAAGCTGAAGATTTTTTGACTTACTAAGCAACTACTGAACAAGGACCATGATCCATGATGTCAGTATACTGGCTGTGAATGAATTGGGAAGGGTATGGAGAGGAGTAGCCGAGGCCCACGACTGGAGCTGCAGTTCAGGCGGGCAGGCGGCTACCTGCGCAGGCAAGATTTCAGGGACGATAAATTTAATAGATTTTGGCTTTGCATTTTGTCAACCGGAAATTAATTTATGCTGCTCTTTTGTTTATACCGTGACAATTAATTATGAGTTATCTAGACATGGTGTGGTAGCGTAGTTGGTTGAGGCACTATTCTACAAGTCCGAAGGTGGCAGGTTCGATTCCTGATGACTTCATTGGATTTTTCAGTTTACCTAATCCTTCCAGCCGCACTATGACCCTGGGGTCGACTCAGCCCCTAAGAGAAATTAGTACCAGGAATCTTCCTTGGGGAGGGGGGTGCTGAAGGGCGGCCGGCTGGTAAAGCTGACGGCCCTACCGCCATCTGTGAGCCGATTTTCTAGGGAAAAGGTGGGGGTCTTGACGTCTCACAACCCTATGGGCCTCCACGGCCTGTTACAGGGATAGCTTTACCCTTTTATCTAGATATGTTATGCAAGAGTGTTAATAAAATTGTTTTAAGAATTCAATGCCAATAAGTGCTTTCGTCAGCGCATCTGAAAATTTGGTCATCACTCGTAACTGTAACGACGTTTTGAGAAAGTGGGCCAGCTTTTAACTGAAGGGGGCGGCCGAATTTGTCGTCGACTGCGACGGCATTGAGTCTTCCGTCAATCGGGCCAAGGCACAAACTAATTTGAAGACATCACACCAGAGGTTTCATACAGGGACTCTGGGAAAGAAAGGAATTACAGACCGTGTGGGAATAACTGATTTACGGGGTGAGATTCGAACCCGTGACTTCCAAAACATGAACCAGGAATGCTAATTGTTCAAAAACGAAAGCTGGCTAAACAAAGTATCTCGAGATGGGACCTTGAAGAAGTTATTAGATTCAGACATGAGTTTTTGTGCCTTCCTGCCAGTTGGGTGGCGGCCCACAGTTGAAGACGACGTAGCAGTAAATAAACACTTCACATACCGACGCTGCTATCTTCAGGAATTTCACATGCTGCCTGGACGTTGTATCTAATCAAAGCTATTCATTGTTTTCTCACTACAGAATCCTTTCAGATCGATAATTCTTTCAGTAAGATAGGATTGAATTAGAGTAATGCTTGCTACCATTCAGTCCAGGACCTTTACTTTTCTCGTCCGCTGTCCAAAATCGTATACATTTTAAATATACGAAATTATAATTTTGCCTATGGTTTTGTGTGGGTGTGAAACTTGGTCTCTGATATTAAGGGGGGAACATAGACTGAGGGTGAAGAATGCCGTCTTCTGGGATGTGGTACCGTGTAGATCTTGTGTGAACCGACGTTTCGGAGGAACGTATCGCCTCCAGCTTCAGGCTGCAGTCTGCAGCCACCTGCTCACGCTGATTCATCGCTCGCGGATTTTTCTACCGATACGTACACTTGACGAAAGGCCAAGCATGTACATAAGAGACAAACCCATCTTCTCGTCAGATAGGATGTTACATACGGGCTGTGACCGCAAGGGTTTAAAACCTCTGGTCGTGAGTCTCAAAGGGCTTGACGCCAAGACGAATTGTTTGGTGGTAATCCATCAGTCGTAAAGTAACTTTGACTTTGAGTTTGAGATATAGAGCTTGGATGCATGCAGTCACCCCTGTTGGAGGTGTGGTAGGCAGAGCAGCTCCCATTGTTGTAAGCCGTTGCGTAGTAACACCGAGTTGTGAGATAGGCGACAGCCAGCGAGGTTCGGAGCCGTGGAACACGGAAGCTCAGGAATCTGCGGCGTTGGGAGCGTTACCGTGCGACAACTGGTGAAGACACAGCAGACTGAGAAGATTTAATGCCTGCTGTAGCTATTTTAGTGCGTAGATCCGTGAAATTGTCATAGTCAATTGTAGTTGGAAGTTTTAGGAGCCCAGTAAATCTGATTACCAATCCAAATCCCTTCTATAATCACATATCACGTGACAATATAGAAAGAAGAAATACTATAAGCATGGATAATCTTTGTATTATAACTCCATCATTGGTTCCACAGGGTGCTGTTGCTAACTGACCGTAAAACATTTCAGCTGAAGGTGAACAGTTCAGCCATCATGGATTTTCCACGTTACCCACATCGTGGCCTGCTTCTGGACACTTCACGCCACTTCTTTCCATTGCCTGCCATATTGCAAATGCTCGATGCCATGGAAGCAAACAAAATGAACGTCTTTCACTGGCATATTGTTGATGATAACAGCTTCCCATATGAGAGTGCAGCCTTTCCACAGCTCAGGTAAGTACATCCCGACCAAGTATTTTGATTTGTCTCATTCTGGTCCGTCACACTATTAATTACAAAGTAGATAACTTTCAGTCCAGAATGACATACAGGTTTACAACACTTCAGTCTTTATTCGCCTTACATGTTTCGATTCAAAAGAATCATCTTCAGAGGCGCACCACTACGAGCAGGAAACACTGTCACATAAGATGTTTTAACATTATGCACTTAGGTTATGAATAGTGCTCACTATATCACAGTTTGCCCTATGCAGCCACATTGACGTGTAGATTTACGTATGATGTTTCGTTTAAGCGCATTTGCTGGGTATTCGATTGGGGTTTCCCACTGCATGCAATGTGATGTTCACTTTTCCATAAAATAGCTTCCCTATGTATTTAAAATTGTATTAAAAATCTTTTGTATGTAAGAAATTAGTTATTATGTTAAAAATCGTGAACCAATATTGGGTCGTGTTGCTTTTTCCTCCGGATGGTAGAAGATGTCGATTATTTCTCTTGGTGCTGTATATACGACACAGCATGCACGTAAACTACACAACTAACAATAAGAACATACAACCAAGAGAAATAATCAACATCTTCTACCATCCGGAGGAAAAAGCAACACGACCCAATATTGGTTCACGATTTTTAACATAATAACTAATTTCTTACATACAAAAGATTTTTAATACAATTTTAAATACATAGGGAAGCTATTTTATGGAAAAGTGAACATCACATTGCGTGCAGTGGGAAACCCCAATCGAATACCCAGCAAATGCTTAAACGAAATATCATACGTAAATCTACACGTCAACGTGGCTGCACAGGGCAAACTGTGATATAGTGAGCACTATTCACAACCTAAGTGCATAATGTTAAAACATCTTATGTGACAGTGTTTCCTGCTCGTAGTGGTGCACCTCTGAAGATGATTCTTTTGAATCGAAACATGTAAGGTGAATAAAGACTGAAGTGTTGTAAACCTGTATGTCATGCTGGACTGAAAGTTATCTACTTTGTTCCAACCAAGTATTGCCTGTGTATTGAATTCACTCAACACACGAGTCATTACTGCTGCTGTTTTTTTGTTAGCGTTTAAGCTATATATCCAGATTTTACAACTATAGAATTTTGTGGCCTATGACAGAAAAGCAGAATGAATGTTACAGATGAGTCAGATGGTTAACACTTCTTCTCCATATTTGGTTTCACTTCCTGACATGCAGGATGGCTGTCCTGACCAATATTTCTTTGGTCCCTCCAGGCCATTACTGGACAAGAAACATTAAAATAGGCACGATAGCCTTATTTTCGTCCATCATTGGCAGTCATCCTTCCTAAGTAACCAGTAATGTCCACAGAGTATGTTGAATAGATCAAGAATATACTACATTCACAACACTTTTCTAGATTATGATATTTTTTTTTCTGTGGCGCTACAGCCCCAATTTGGGCCTAGGCCTACCTCCATGAAACTCTCCGTTTCACTACGGTTTTCTAGATCTTACACATTCGGTAGGACTCCTTGGGCGAGTGATCAGTTCGTCGCAAGTTCACTACGGTTTTCTAGATCTTACACATTCGGTAGGACTCCTTGGGCGAGTGATCAGCTCGTCGCAAGGCCTCTACCTGTAGACAAACACAGAAAAACGCACACAAACATCCATGCCCTGAGTGGGATTCGAACCCACGATCCCGGTTTCCGAGCGAGCGAAGACAGTTCATGCCTTAGACCACTCGGCGACCGGCAGATGATGATATACGACACTTAAAATGTCAGAACAGGCTTCTTTGTACTCTATGTGATCCATGAGATAATAGAGTGAAACTTCAATTTTATGATCCCAGATTTTACGTTGTTCAGTGTGCAGTGACCAAAATGTCTTTACAGAAATAAAGATCATCATACTGCCTGGAACCCACATTTCAGTTCAATTAGAGAATTCTCATCATGCAGAAAGTAGATAATTGAACCTGTGGTTTTCGTTGAACAGTAGTGTATTTTCAAGTGATCAAGACATTCCCTGCTTTTTTTAAATTCCAAGGTTCATTATCATTTTCACAAGAACTTGCCATAGTCCCTCTTCTGAGACAGTTAAATTCAGTCTCTACCTTCTTTATTAGGTCCAAATATGTTCTCTCAGCACTTTGATCTCAGGTACGCTCAATTAATACCCTTCCTTCTAGGTTACAAATCAGATTTCACAACCATGTAAATGAGAAGTTGAAATGTGTGGTTTCATATTTAGATTTTCAGGTGACAAGATGAAAGATACTTTTCCCAGATATAATGTTCTGAAATTCATGAAAAACATTGCTTTGTTTTATTTTGTCTTGCTAATGTCATTCCATAGTCATCATGCACAAATGCTTAAGATATTCTGCAAATTGGTTCACATGTTTGTACATCAAGGTAGATATTACATGAAATGTAGTTCAAGTGAATTTCTGCAACCCATGAAATGGAAGATAGTTTCAGTTCTCCCAGAAGCCATGCAGAGGGTTGAGTGTAACGTGAAATACACAGATATGAGCATGTAGTCCTTTGGGTTATGATGCCATGTAATCTGATATATGGGTACCATCATTTCAGAGGAACATACTGCCTTGGTCTATTACCCTAAAAGTTAATAGCCATGAACATCAGTCTACCATATTCATTTTTATCCCTGCACTTGTACAGTCAACTCAGATAATTTTAGTTAATTCTGCACTAGGTCCTCATTCATAATCTGAAAAGTTGAAAATTTGCAAATAATTTAGAGGCAAGTTAACAAGAAAGAGTAGTTAAAAATGTCTGCTAGAATAAAACTTTGAACTCATGTTGAATATCTTTCCAATATAGCAAGAAAGGAGCATACAATCCTCGCACTCATGTATATACCCGGATACAGATTCGCTTGGTGATTGAGTATGCTCGCCTCAGAGGTATCAGAGTCCTTCCTGAATTTGACAGTCCAGGTAAGCAGCAGTCGACTCAGTACATTGGTTCAAAAAGAAAAAAGTTTATGTAACAAAATTTAGCTAGGATGTAGCTCAGGTTAGTAAAGAGACTGGATATTGGCTGCTGGTTCGATTCTTGGCAGAGGTTGAAATTATTCCTATTGCTACCATATCCAGATAGTCCCTTGAGCCAGTGAGCATTCTATGCAGTGGTTAGTGTGCATGACCATGTGTGTGTGTGTGTGTGTGTGAGAGAGAGAGAGAATGCACGCGCGTGTGTGGAATCAAAAGGCCCAATTGGTACTGTTTATTGTACTGACACTGTGACACACTGTTTTCATTATGAAACAAAGAAATTTGTTGCATTAGAAACAATACATAGAATTGAAATTGTGAATGTGAAATAAAATAACTTTTGGACTATTATCTAGTTTAAGAAAAACATATTTTGCAAATCATATCAGGAGCCCCAAAGACCCTGAAATCCATTCATCATAATGTAGAAAGTGCAAGCAAATCTTTGTAGTAGTTTTAGTCATTTAAGCGTGAACCTTTGAATTAACCTTTAACGTCCAAAGTGCCCCGATTGGGCCAGTGATGAGTATGGTCTTCCTGGCCAAAGTACCCCGTTTTGGCCAGTAGGGCATTTAAACTCCGCTAGCGGAAGCGTGCACACGCCGCTAGTAGAAGTGCATGCACAGTCCTAAATATTTATTTTTAAATGTAGTAATTACCAGAAGGACTTGAGTAAAACCTTAATAGAGGAATTAAGATGATACCTAAGTGAACAACAGCAAAAAAGAATATACGTATGAGTTATGCCCAAACTCATCCACGAGCCAGTACTTTTACTGCAGATTCTGCAGATTAATGTGTTAAAAATATATAAACTCGATGTACATACCTTTTTTGTTGTTATCTGCTTGATATATATATATATAGGCTGAAATGAAACTACAGTATTCAATTTCACTATGAACCCACAGAAAACAGATCACACTCTGTGTCTCAGCCATGATACAACTGTCTGTTCACGACCCTAGAAAGGGCAGTAATCTCTTGCAGCTATAACGGAAGGTCTTAGCACTGAAGAAGGGACCCCTCTAGCTTTCTCTTGAATAGCCATTCTTTCATTCTTCTGTCCTTTAGTCAAAAGATTCGAAAATCCGAAGACTGTAAGCAGTGCTAGCAGAAGACCAAATGATTTTATTGCTTTCATCTGTTTTATGACAACAGGGACTGCTAAAATTTGTCAAGTGTTGCAAACAGAAATTAATTTATAATGCTGAACAACTCTGTGAAGAACTGGGAAACTATTTCTGCAGTACACATCAAAATTAAAAGAAAAAAAAAAATTGAAAATAGAGTATAACTCTTTGTATAAAAATTTTCAAATCATCCATCATCATAATATGCTACACTAAGTTCTTTGCTGATACAAACATTAATCATACATCCATTAATCATAAAATTTGAGTTAGATACAACATTTTTAAACACAATGCTTAAAATTATTTAAGCGCCCTAACAGGAATGGACATTTAAACGCAGAGTAGCAACGGGCATTTAAATGCGCACCAGCAGCGGGCATTTAAATAAACTCCAGCCAGCTCAAGCTTACCACCATTTCAGAAGTCTGGCGTTTAAAGGTTAAGCATCCTGTTGCACTATACACTTCTATATGTAATAATAGAAATGCCATCGTGAATGCAACAATTTATTTGGTTGTAGATCTTTGTCTTTTCTTCCTCTACACCAGTGCTTCTCAACCTCCGGGCCACGGCCCAGTAGTGGGCCCTGGCACCAATTATACTGGGCCGTGGGAGGCTCTTCTGGAATTTGTCATTTTCATTTTCTAAGCATTTTTCATTAATAAATATTTTTATAGTGGAAATATTCTTAGGAGAACAATATTTGTGTTGAGAAGCTGAGACACAGAACACCTAAATCTGTGTAGTGTCAGTGACCAAGTGGCATATTTTTAAACATGGAGGTATTCATGAATGATCGGGAATTTTGAGACATCCAAATCTTTCTACATTCAGGAAAGGCAATAACGATGTTTATGACCAGTCATAAAAACTGTCTGCAAGCCGATTACAACAATGGGCGGCATATCCTCTGTTCACAGAACTGAGCGAAATAACATCTGTGTTGCAAATGTCAGTGACCAATCAGCGAGGAAGTATAAAGAAACTGTTTCCACTGAAATTGAAGATCAAGGCAGTCTGTATCCAGTTCTCAAATCTAGTAATACTGAATACTGTTTTGTCACAAGTTCGCATTGCAGTGTGTAAGTGCTTGTTCCGAAACCTGAGTGAAGATGTTGTCATTTGAAAAATATTATCCCAAACATGAGGATCCCCGGAGGCAAAATATGTGGATTGTGAACCCTTTTGTTTAACACAGAGAGACAGCCCTTTCCCATGAAGAAACCCTTCAACTTATTGAATTATCATTGGACAAAGGACTGGAAAGTACTTTTAATACTACAAGTAATTCGAAATTCTGGTTAAGAATGAAAATAAATATCCAAATTTACATGAAATATCAGTGAAATTTCTTCTTTGTTTTTCCACCACATATCTTTTGATTGATTGATTGATTTATTTAACATCCATAACTGTTACATTATATACAATTGGACAAGTCAGTTTTATAAAAAAATATATGAGATTAAACATCACATCAAATGACTAATAATATAAAAAACCATAGAAAAATAACATAATAAATCCTTTAAATATGATAAAACAGTGGATGAGTATAATAAGGCAACAAAAGCTAAACTATAAATTACATGCAGTATCTAAAATAAATTACCTAAGTATCTTTGTTCTATTATTAAGCTAATTCTTGTAAAAATATTCTTGAAGAGAATAAAAAGCTTTGCACAACAAGTAATCCTTTAATTGACGCTTAAAAACCTTGAACTCTTGAATACTTCTTATTTGAGAGGGTAAGTTATTATACAATCTTATTCCCATGTTAATCACACTCCTTTTACAATGTGAGGTGTTACATGGTTGGACATACAAATTCTGCTTATGTACTGTGTTATAACCGTGCACATCTGAATACGAGATGTTATATATCCTATTTTTCCTTAAAAAACACAACGTCTCAAAGATATACAATGAAGTTAAGGTTAAAATTTTAAATTCACCAAAAAATTCTCTACACGATATCCTGTTATTGACTCTTTTGATCAGTCTTAAACATTTTTTTTGGACTTTAAATACAGTTTGAATGTCCTTTTGACCACAGCCCCAAACAATAATACCATATCTCAATAAAGATTCAAATTTCGCAAAATACACACTTCTCAAAATTGGAAGACTGACCAAATCTCGTAAGGATTTGATAAGATAGATGGTTTTGTTTAATTTGTTTAATCTTTGTGAAACTGAATTTTCTGCCATGACTGTGCTTAAAACGAAACAGAGGAACTGCCTGCAACTTTCTGACTGTCTCCGTTTGGCTCTCCAATTCATCACAGAATTAAATATAATATATCATATTCAATTTCCACTACTGCATTTAAATGACCAGAAGGGTTATATTGTTGCACATCTTTATGCCAAAGTGTACACAGTGTTTTACTTTGTTCACAGTCATAACACACCTACTCATTTATCAGATGCTAAGATTTGTAGCAAATAATATGCTGTTAATTTTTATTACTACAGTTACTAACTGTCTGCAGGTCATACTCAATCATGGGGTTTGGGCCTGCCAGGTCTGCTGACACCCTGCTATTCAGGATCCAAACCTGATGGTACATATGGACCTGTGGATCCAATACAGGAAACTAGTTACAAGTTTCTTCAAAAGTTCCTGGCTGAAGCAGTGGAACTATTTCCTGAAAAATACATACATTTAGGTGGCGATGAGGTTGACTTTGATTGTTGGTAAGCCGACATTTTTGTGATGGAAACTGAATTCTGAGACTTGCACATGGTCTTTTAAATGTTGGTAGCACGGTCTTTGAGAAAATAAAATGGACCTATGTATATTCTAAAAAGTTGTGGGGATGTGTCAACTGCTATCTTGGGGGCTTTTAGAGTCCTAGGATTTTCGTATAAGATGTAATGAATATGTTGAAGTTCTACATAATCTCCAACCACTATTTACTTTATCATAGCACAAATATTAACATGGAACCATGTTTTGTTCCTTCAAAACTAGCTGAGTCATTCTCAGCTGTGTTTGCTTGTTGGCTTATTTACATAAAATTTAGAACTTTTCAGTGTTTCTCATTATTCAATATGTAATTGCATCATTACTGCATTCATATACAGCAGTTTATTATTATGAAGTCTGCAGGCAGAAAATGTGGCCATGGCAGATTTCATTCAGAAACACAGAGAAAAAGGAAAGCTGTCAGAAGGCAGTATGTGTCATAATGTTTATTTAGTATGACCATATTTATATGCCATTTCTGGAGAGTATACATATAATATACAAAATGTAAAGTTGTCCCTGTGCTTAACTAATTAAGCACCATGCCATGAAGACATATAGGGGAGTGGATGTATACATCCACATTTTGTTGACTTTGACACTAGTTGGAGCTTCATGGCCTGGCCTCTTTACCCCTGGTACGCATTGGAAAGTCGGCTGTGTGGGTACCAGGGTCTGTCTGGATGACACGCAGAAGAGAACATTCTTGACCCTGCTGGGACTCCAACTCTGATCCCTCATGTCATCCAGCATGTAGCCAGTTGCTACTCCGACTGTGCCATCCTGGCTCACATATAACATAAAGACTTTAAAATTATTTTCAATAAAACTTAACACCTAAAAATTGAACTGGAATATAGCTATATAAATTTTGAAGTATTTAGGTCATATAATCTGATAAAACCTCAGATTTACAAAAATCTGGAGATTCCTCAGTTAGACTAAATCAAACTGGAGTCTGGAGACAGATTTGTTTCCTAAGACTCCAGCCAAAAAACAGAGAGGTGACAATACTGAGTATATGAAATGAATGTACTGGAACAGTACATCTGCTGGACATGTGACAAATGATGTTACAAGAATACAAGATCTACTGATAATTCAACATATATTCCAATGGCCACTCTGTCGAAAAATTTTGAACAAAACTCTTTATGCATTACTTTTTCCTTCCCTTAAATAACACATGTACCACATTCCTGACCACCTTGAATTGTCTAATAACCAGTTCAGTCTTATTTCTTTAATTGAAATTTATGCCAAATAATGAAGTGTATTGTCTCCTTTTGTGGGGGGTTTGGAGGAATAGGCCTTTTATCATAGAATAACTTATAAATAATGACATTTCAATTATTGAGGTGTTGCTTATAAATGATTGACTTATTTTCAGGGCAAGTAATTCAGATATTCTCAGATTTATGGAATCCCATAACATAACAGGAGATTTCAGTAAACTTGAAGAAATCTACATTCAACGACTAGTAAATACTGCCTCAAACTTAAGTGCCAGCTCATTGGTCTGGCAAGAAGTGTTTGACAATGGAGTCATTTTGCCGCAAGACACAGTCGTCCACATTTGGAAAGGGGACATGCAGAAAGAACTAGCAAAGGTGTGAAAATGAAACACTAAGAATTATTATACACTCAACTCTCGATTATCCGGGGGTGGATAAACTGGTTTGTGGCTTAACCGGGTCTTTTTTGAGGCTTATATGTTGTTTAACGGTCATTCACTTTTGTTTCACATGGTGAGTTGTAACACTTTTTTCGCACTAGTGTGAACTGAGCTCTGCATTTTTTGGTCCCGTTATGCTAACACAATGTTCTAGGGCAGGGGTGAAAGAATACAAGGATTTGTGGAAAGTTTCAAGGACAGATACACCGCCCCAGTTAGTCTCTTTGTATCAATCTTCAAGTGTGTTAGCAAAATGTCAGGGTGTAAAAGGAAGTGTGTTGTGGTAAGTATTCAACAGAAACTCGTGTGAGCTGGGCTTTGAAATGTTAAGCAGTGACAAAATCGTAAGTTCAGTGGGGGTGCAGCCAGAAGAGCGGGAAGAAAGTGAGAATGAGGAAAAGGTGGACAGTGCTGCTAGTAAGAAAATATCACATGGTGCTGCTCTTAATCATTTGGAATCCCTACTAGACTATCTTGAGAGTGAAGAGACAGTTCATTAAGTGACAAGCTAATATTATGTAGGTTTCGTACGGATATCCGTAAAAAGGAAAATGCCGTGAAAAAGCAAACAACAATATTAAATTTTTTTAAGTGTTAAGCGTGAATATTCGTAACATATTGATGAACACTGTGATCAAAATAACTAATTCATACTTCAGTGTAATGTAAAAAAAGTATTAAATAGGCCACAAGATGGGATAAAAATGAGGTTGAATAAATTTAAATACAGGTAGGCCTATAATATTATGAAGGTACAGTATTACAGTACTACTTTTAATAAAATTTGTCTTAACCGGGTTTTCGATTAATTGTGATTTCCATCCCCACCATAATCCCGGATAATCGAGAGTTGAGTGTATTAACACTGCAATGTGGGATATATCTCCTTACATAAGAACATCTCTCATTGGTGTGTCAGTTTTTTCTTTGAAAGATTATACTTTATATTATCTATTATATAAATTCTTCCTTGGTAAAACACCTACACATAGGTGCCTGCCTGTACCAGCTGACCACTTTGAAGCATGTTTAAATTAACCTTTTAACTGTCTTAACCTGCAGTCTTGTCAGATTTTGTTCATACTTCACTTTCATCTGGCAGTTATATCTAATAGAGTTTCAGGGGCAATATCTTTATGAAACATTATCATTTGTTTAAACAGATTTGCTTCTCTGGGCATCATGATCATTATAAGTTTTTGTTTCTTTTAAATTTCATTTTATTTCATGTCAACTTTTTGGTATAATGAGTTTTTTTTTCATTATGCTGAACATAAGATTTTTACAGAACTATCAGCCACTAGAATATGTCAAGAAATAATTTAATTACAACAATTTAAATGTAATACAGCATGAAATACAATATCTTGGGTTCCTATTATCAAGGAAATTGCTTTCCTTCAATGAATATGTTAGCATCAAAATTTTCATAGTTGTTTTGAATTGATATTGATACATGTAGGAGGGGGGGGAGAGTATGCATGACAAAAATAACGGATTCTAAATCAGATGACTGGAATTACTGGCACTTTGATTACAAGTTCTGGTAATCACAGTCAGTTACAATGCTGTCGCTATTCTGCATATTTTGAGTTCACTGCTGCATATGCACTAGGATTCACTGTCTTCACTGGCCTTCTCCTGGCAACACATCTCAACACAGAAACTAGCACTTCAAATATTACACATAAAGTCTTCTCTTCACAGCTGCCCATGCAGAAATGAATTCTCAACTCATCTCTCCTGGACTCCTTCGCAGAGCAGAGCAGAGTCTTACTGCTGGCAGTCAGCCGGCACAGTCACTCTTGGCATTGGGCCCCGCTGGGACCCATGGCCATATTTTTTGTTTAGTGTCTAGACCTTTGGTTTCTTCCACTTCTTCGTTGGTCCTCCTTAATGATAAAAAGGAGGGGTTGATCTTTTTTTCTAATTGGTATTTACTTTATACACCTTATTCCACCTGACGTTACATTATTCTCACAGGAGTAAATATGTGATATATACATTTTTCTTTTACACTTTTCACAAGTATAAACTGAAATTAAATTCTAATATGTAGAGGGACATCTGTCAGTGCAGGGATGTGCAGCAACCTATGCATCAATTTATTTAACACTCCAAAATGGCAGTTAAGACACTTGAACGGTCACAGGCTTGCCCGCCACCAAGTTTAAGCCTCTCATATTTCCTATGTCTGGTTTTTCCTTGTCCAGTTGCACGTACATTTGAATTTTCATGATTTAGGATGACATCTGCCTGCCTCCTGCATAATTTAGTTATGTAATCAGACACATACGGAATTTTGAACGCCAAGTGCAAATCGCTGACCCCACAGAAAACGTGTCATGTCAGACTGCATGTTCATTGGTCCATTACCAGTACTTGATGTGGTGCAGAGGTCCTTCTATTGATGCATGCAAGTCAGTCACGGGGTGTTTATTAATCTCTTGCCTAGCAATATTTTGAGCAAATCCATTACAATATTTTAACACTACAACAAGGAAAAGAAAAATGTGCTATAAAGTTTCACCTAGCAGATGTTTCACTAGTATTCACTAAGTGTCCAGTTGTTACTGCAACCAGGAATCAACTATATGGGTTGAGAATTTCATGGTTTTTCTTATTCTCTCTAGACATATGCTTCAGGTGCAGCTTCAACTGAATCAACAATTTTAATGGGAGCTTATCTGATAGGATATTTAATAATAATAATAATAATAATAATAACAACAACAACGACGACGACGACATCGACGACAACAATTTTATTTAATATTCATCACAGTTACAAATTGTAACTCTCAAACAAGTCACATGCATATACAACTTTTCCAGTCTAATTGGCCTCCTGCCCAATCGATTGAATGTCATCATAATCACATAACATAACATTCAGTTACAATGAATATCACACTTTCGGTATAATTAAAATATATTAGGTACAATCAAATTTACGACTACCTTCCATTATAAAAAACAAGGTCATCTTACTATATATATCTTAATTACCACCATCATATTCTTAAACTTAAAACCCATTATATCAAAATAATCCACAAAAGATAAAATTCAATTTAGATAACGATTAAATAATTTGGAATGCAATCTCTTTTAAGACTTCCATTCCCTTTATAGGCTGAATCATATTAAAAACTTCACCTAATTACTAGTCATTTTATTTACGCTTAAATCTATTTATTAAGGAGAATCTTATTCGTTTAACTGTCCTTCTGAGAGGGACTCGTGCAAATTATACAATGGGTGTTCCAGTAAATATCTTTTGAGTCTATGTAGGAATTCTCTATCTGCTTTTACCATTCTTAGTTCCAAAGGCAGTCTATTATAAAGCTTAATAGCCATATTTGTAACACCCCTCTCATATGTTAAGGTATTATAACTTTGCAGGTGAAGGTCTTCTTTCTTTCTTGTGTCATACTTATGTAGGTCAGAGTTTTTTGTGGTGTAAATGTTATATTTCTTTAAATAATGTAACACATCTAAAATATGCAAAGATGTTACCGTTAAAATTTTTAATTCTCTAAATATAGGTACATTAGAAACAATAGTTTATTTAATCCTTATGTGTCACATTAGCCAGAAAAATAGTCTCCAATTTGGTTTCTGTTACTGAAGGGCAATATTTGCTCCAAGATATTGATGTGCATAATTGATTCTTATTTTTAGAGCAAATACAATAAATTTGTCTTTCAGCATTATGGAGAATGGGGTTTTGTAGTTAATTCAATCTGTCTGCCTGTTTCATGAGAAGTACTCTTACAGAAACACAATGAAAAGGCAAAACATGTTCTCATTACTTTTATTTATAGAAACAGTACTATATTTCATTTGTCAGACTTCATAATTCTCTGCAATTAATCATCTGCATATGAACTATTAAATGAAAGAGATTTGAGACTCAAATTGGAAATAGTTCAAATTAACAGTTGACTTTTCTGTTCTTTGTGTCAGGTGACAGCAGAAGGTCATCCTGCTCTTGTCTCTCAGTGCTGGTACCTTGATCACCTTGAAAGCGGTGGTGATTGGCATAAATTTTATAGATGTGATCCAGATAATTTCAATGGTACTGAAGCACAGAAGAGACTGGTCATGGGTGGTGAAGCATGCATGTGGAGCGAATTTGTGGATGCATCAAATTTGTCACCAAGGGTGTGGCCCAGAGCAGCTGCTGCAGCTGAACGTTTGTGGTCTACTGTTGAAGTGGACTTTGATGAAGTGGACAGACGAATGGAGGAGCATGTATGCCGCCTTAATAGACGTGGTATTCGAGCTCAACCAGCCAATGGGCCTGGATATTGTCCTTATATTTTCTATTAGCATTAAATTAAAGCTATTTTCTAATACATTTTGCAGTTAAACTATTCTGTTGTACTAAATACTAAAGAAGGATTGTGGCTATACTGAAGTCAAAATAAGTGGTCCAGCACCATATTAATAAAGAAATGTGTACAGTATCTTTAGTGTTTCCATTAGTTTGTCTAACTTCTGTATAGTTGATGTTCTTAACGCAATGGATTTACATGGTTTGAAGGAATTCACTAGTCAGTCTTGAAGTTAGATTTTGTTACTGAAGGGTTTTAATGGACCTTGAAACCTAATTTACCAGAATGCGGGCTCACTGTCTGACACACCAAATTCATGGAGCCAAATCTTCGTTTAGAAGCTAAAAGTTACTCCCTCACTCAAAAAATTTGGACATTTTATGGAACATGAATGTTCCGTACTGTGTTCACAAGAGCGCTCCACTGGTCTGAGGCATGAACCATCTTTGCTCGCTTGGAAGCTGGAATCTTCGATTCGAATCCTACTCATGGCATGAATGCCTGTTTGCATTTAATCTGTGTGTTGTTCTGTGTGAAGGTAGTGGTCTTTTGACTGACTGATCCAGGAGTGCTACTGACTGCGTAAAAGATCAAAGAAACTGAAAAAGCGTCCAATGTCTGAAGGGCTGTGGAGCTATAGAGAAAGAAAAAACAAGTGAAGTCAAGCTAATTAAATTTACATACAGTTGGCACTAACTTCGCCGACAAGCAGCGGTCACCCGTTCGGTATAGTTCGCTTGCGAACTCGAGCCATGGAGTTTGTTTTATTTACATTCACTCACAGCATCTGGACTGGGCTCTTCCTGTGGAAGTAAAGCGGCCAGGGTGTAAAACTAACCAACCACTCGCCACCATTTAGTGCCAAGGTCAACAATGATGGAGCTGTACCTTCACTTCCCCATATGTCTTCATGGGGTGGTGCTTAATTAATTAAGCACAGGAACAATTTTACATAATTCACTTTCACCTATGGATGATGCATATTCCTTTACAGTATCAGGGTTTATAAATTATCGATTAACGTGATATGAGTGGTCTTGGAGCATCAGGGCAGAGGGACGAAGAAATTCTTTTTAACTTTTGTACCTTCAAGCTACATAATCAACCCTGTGGCCAACTTAAAAATTTTACCTACATACACAATCCATCACCTTCCTCCCTGTTGTAATTACTCGAGTGTTTCAATGTTTCAGAGATGTCAGAACGGTAGGAAAGAAGTAATTTCGCCAACCAATACAATTTGATGACCGGCTCTGTGGTCAAGTGGTCAGAGTTCCTGGCTACAGGTCCAGAGGTCCTGGGTTGGATTCCCGGCGCTACCAGATTTTCTGAGAAGTAGTGGGTCTGGAACGGGGGCCCCTCAGCCTCGTGAGAATAATTGAGAAGCTATTTCAAGGAAATAGCGGCTCTGGTCTAGAGAACCGAGATTAACGGCCGTGGGGATCTGTTGCGCTGACCACGTGACACCCTCTATTCGTGAAAGTTGGCACTAACTTCGCCGACAATCGGCGGTCGGTATAGTGCCCTTGCGGACTACAGGCTACGGAGTTTGTTTTGTTTATTAGTATTTGTATTTGTATTCATTGTAAGTTCAAGAGATCCAAAGAAGGATATAGAACATGTCATAAAATAACATAGAGCACAGAATACATACATAAATATTACACAACTAGACAGTACAATGAATACAACATTAATAAAAATTATCTATTTAGATATTCATCCACAGTATAAAACGTATGAATATTCAAGAAATGCCTTAATACAACCTTCAACTTTTTAAAATTATTGGATGTGTTCTAGATCTCTATGGGCAATTTATTGAATATTTTTATACCTGCATAATAAGCTCCTTTTTGATAAATAGTTAAATTAGCTTGAGTAAAATACAAATCTTGTCTTTATTTGGTATCAGTAGTATGAGAATCAATGTTTGATGGGAAAAGAACTTTATTTTGCAATAGAAATACTAACAACGAAAATATATATTGTGATGCAAATAATAAAATATTTAACTCTTTAAATACGTTTCTACACGAAACTCTATTGCCATAGCCCAACATTGCTCTGATAGCTTTGTGGGGCTTTGTTGTGACTCCAATGACAACCCACTTCTTCGGAAAAGTTTGTAGGTCCTGAAAAGGACCGTTGGCTGCTGGGATGTTTGGCCGGTGAAGTAGCGCTACGTATGCCGGTAGAAAGAGATGCTCATTGCGGCGTAATGCGTTGACTGACCACAGTGCGGCCGTTGCTGGGGGTTGCTTGATCGCAGCGCGGCAGATGGTGGAGGTTGCTTGATTGCAGTGCGGCAGATGCTGGTGCGAGTCTGGTTGTCGAGCGCGGTCGCTGGAGTGGAGAGGCAGTAGCTACGCCAGATGCCCAGTGAGTCGGGCATGACCGCCGGCGAGCTGAGGCAGCCCAGTGAGTCGGGCATGCCAGCAGAGAGGCCAAGCGGCCATTCCTGGCGCAGCGCAGAGTCGAAGACTCTGAAGACCGAGCGCTAGCGATGAAATGTGCTGGTTGATGTTGCCTGATGGTAGACTGATGGTAGACTCATTGCGTTTCAGTGGAGCGCGGTTGTTGGAGTGGAGAGGCGGTAGCTACGCCAGATGCCCAGTGAGTCGGGCATGACCGCCGGCGAGCTGAGGCAGCCCAGTGAGTCGGGCATTCCAGCGGAGAGGTGAGGCGGCCATTCCTGGCGCAGCGCAGAGCCGAAGACTCCGAAGACCGAGCGCTGGCGACGAAATGTGCTGGTTGATGTTGCCTGATGATAGGCTAATGGTAGACTCATGCTGCCGGTCAGAGTCAGAGTCAGAGTCAGAGTCATGTTGCAACTGACGGTCAGTCAGTCTGTCTGTCTTGGTGTCGAGCCCCAGCTGGGGCTCATGACCAGATATTTCTTTTGAATGAAAGTTACTGTCTTGTCTATGTCGGGCACCCTCTCTGACGAGAGGTTGGGTCTGTCATTTGTCAGTCAGTCTGTATTAATATGTCCACTGTCTGTATTTACATAAATTTACAATACACAATTATTTCTTACTGTTATGTACAATATATACAAGGCCTCTGTCACTCCAGGCTCAGTACAGCAGATTACGCCCTATTTCCAGTATTATTCGCTACCATGGCAGTCTAGTCACTTGAACGGTCGTTTGCTTGACCTCCGCCAAATTTAAGCCTTTTATACTTTCTATGGCGGGCTTCGCATTGTCAGATGTTGCGAACATTCTCATTCTCATGATTTTGTATGGCTTCTGCTTGTTGCCTGCATAATTTTGCTATAAAGTCATATACGTACGGGATTTTGAATGCCATGTGCAAATCGCGGACCGGTGTGCGCCTTGGAAATTTGCCAGTCGTGCGGAGAACCTTGTTTTGCAGGCGCTGCAATTTCACTGAATGGGTGTTTGCCGCAAACTCCCAGGCGGGACTCGCATAAGTCATTACGGATCTAATAAGAGCTTTATGGAGGGTTAGTTTAATGTTAGCGCCCAGATGCTCATTTTTGAATATGGAATACACTCTAATGA